AAAATTTAAAAAGTAAGCATTAAATATATTGCAAATAACTTATATTTAACATTAAAATTTTTGCTATAAATAACCTACTAGTGACATACATTTAAGATCACTGTGGGAAAATGCCTACAAAGTTACGTTTCCTTCTGGTTGGCCAGCAAATGTTTTGCTCCACTCACATACTATGCCATTAAAAAAGCAGAGCAAGTGATTGGGGGAGTGAATCGGTTCACTGAACTGCTGTATTCTGTTGAATTGAAACATTAGCGTGCTCCCTTCCCTATGCAACTGATCTCAACTGGTCAATTTACTCCAGATTAATGGCCGGTTTTTTGGTCACGTTTAATTTCATTTCTGTATCAATGACCACAATGTACTCGCTAGTCGCAATAACGTCTGTGTATAGATGCATATTTTGGACTATACATAAAGAAAATGTTGTAGATACCAGTGTAGTATATTCATGGAGGCAATTCTAACTATAAATACTAAATGTGAACAACACTTTTAATTTAATAGGAATTTGAATCTTTGTAAAAGAATTAGCTTCTTCCATTAAATCCAATCTCGTTAATGAGTAATTTTCCTCCTTTTAAAAAAGCCATATATTATTTCATTTTTACTTTTGAAGGATTAATTTTTAGCCTTCTTTTTTGACCAGCAATTTTTAGCCTTCTTGGGTCTTAAAGAGTACAATTAATTCTACCAAAAAAAAAAGAGAGAGTACAGTTAATTAATTAGACGATGACAAATTAGGCATTAGCAGCAAGATATTAAAACAGAATTATCAGAGACGCACTTCAAAGCGAAGCAAATGAATGGTTTTTCATTTTTAGAGAGAATAAAAGCTTTGATGCATTGAATGGACGTCCTATTTAGGCAAAATGCAAAGACCTTTTTTTATCATTTTTCAAATCATAAACAGTACTCCTTCTAGATCATTGTGAAGTCATGCAATAATGGCTTAAATAATTATAGATTAGGGAATCATTTACATTACCTTCTAGATCACTAAATTAAATACCATTTTGTATCAAAAAAAATTTAAAGTGAATAATTTTGAAGGGGCTTGGGTTTTTTTTTTATAAGCATCACCTTGGATTTATTTTATAATTTAATACTTTTTTTATTTTATTCTTAATTAAATATATGTCTCTCTTATCTTCTTGTTTTTTTTTCCTCCTCATTCTCTCTTCCAATTGTCCTTATTTATTGTCTTTAATTAACCAATTTTAACTAACTTTTTAAATTGTGTGAATTAGTTATTCCGTCTTTATATTTTGAAGCGAGTGGAGTAAGCATAAGTCAAACTGAACTAAATAATTTTTTTTTCAAAAATATTATCATAAAATTAAAAATTATTCAAACTACGGAATAATTATTTCATTATACTAAATGGGTAAGCTTATCATGAACAGTAAAATCAATCATGAAGTCGTGAAAGAAACAGCCATGGTCCTTAATTAAGCCAGGAAACTAGCAACGTACTACAACTGATAGAGCCTTCTGTTTCCCAAGAATAAAGAAAAACGTTTCAGCCATGGCACCTCCATTATTATGCCTTTCTTAATATGGGTGTCCATAATACATTGAACAATGAAATAGGAATTTTTTATGGGAAAATCACTATGAGATGCTTAAAAATTGAATATGTAAATTTCAAAAAATTTCACAATCAGTGAACATCATATGAATAATGAAAAAGCATTGGTATTGAAGTGAATTTTCTTATCCATCACTTATCGCGTTTTAACTAATCTTTAACTAAGTTTTATCATTAAATAAATTTAGAATTATGCATTTTGATTTGAGTAGAGAAAAATCATTAACTATATAAGTTGAACAAAAAACTACATAAATTTCATTTTGTTCATAAGTATCATGTTTTGTTATAAAAATTTATACTTTCTCATGTCTTTTTGATAAGGACCCATTAACTAGTTTACGCATATTAAGAAGTTCAATTAAAATTTGTTAAAAACGTACCAAAATTCAAAGTTACTTTTAATCATTTTCATTAGTTAAAAGAAATTATCCAATTGGTTTGGATTTTGTTTAGCTTGTTAATCAAAGGACCTTGTATTAAAGAGTTAGAGGACATTTTTGTTCTTAAATCATTTCCTTAACAACATGAAGTATCGTAAACTGTTAAGTGAATTATTTTTTTTAAGATTGCCCGCAAGGCGTTTGTAAAAAGTACTGCTTGGTGGCGTTGATCTGATGTGTTTAACGGAGAAATTTGTAGATTGCTTCTAGTCTTCTTTAACTTGTATTGATCGAGCATCATGTGGGATTGCCCCCATGCCTTACTTTCGGTTTAACCAACATTTTGAGCAATCAAAGTTAACGTTTGCTAACAATAGGGCAACATTCCAATGTTTTAATTTGCTTTACTATACGGTAATCGGATCATAGACTACCGGTCCTTAGTTCAACTGATTTAATGGGGAGATTTGTTCTACACAATATTTAACGTTAACTGCCGCACTCAAATTAAAGCCAATAGGTAAATGGATAAATGGGTTTTTTTTTTTTTTTTGGTTTTCACAGGGTATTCATTGGAGCGAACCCAATAATTAATCCATCGGGTACTGTTGGGCCCAAGATAGGGGCGACCCTCCCAGACACGCTTGCTCTATTCTTATCCCTCCAGGAATCGAACCCCAGAGGCAATGGTTAAGGGACACAACTCCCTTACCAGTTGTGCCAGCGTGTGCTGGTGGATAAATGGAAATTTGTGTGTTACTACCTCCCACCCTAGATATAGGACCTATTTAAATATTTAATTTAGTTTTAAATATAAGATTTTGATACAATTTATCTTCTATGTTTATTCACTTTTTCTTAAAACCTTGGTGATTATAAATGTTAAATGGTTTTCATTTTAATACATACAATTAGTAAATGATATTTTAAGAAAGACAATAATTATTTATTATAAGTAGTTAATTTAACTAATTTTTTTAATATTTACAAATTAATTATCTAACTTTTTATATTAAGAACAGTATTGTATAGATGTAAAAAATGCAATATTTTCTGAATTCACTCTAATCAAAATTTAATTAATACTAAATTAATTATAATAAATTACTCATTAGGTTCTTACTAACTAATTAGAACAAATTAAGAAAACTAAGTAAATTATTTAATTCTAACAAATAAGATATGATCTCCTTAAAATATCCCTATTATATTTAAAACTAAGTTATATAATAGATATAATAGATAAAATATATTAAAGTATTATATTTATTAGAACAAAAACAACCTGTCCAATTATCTCATATATTTATGAACGGAGTAATTACTTATAGTATTTAATTGTGCAGAAAGGCAAAATAAAAAAAGAGTATCAAATTAAATTTATATTTTAAAAAAATTCAAATTAAGAGAGAATTAAGGAGATACTTCTCTTGTTTTATTTATAAGTCACTTTTAATATATTTTACATAGATCAAGAAAAATTTTAAACTTTATTAAGTTTTATTTAAAATTTAATAACGTTTTAATTTTATCTTTATTTAATATACATTATATCTCAAGTCAAACCAATAATAAATAAAAGGTAAAAATCATACATTTATACAACAATATTATCTTAGTATCTTATAAAGAAGATCAATAAATATCTTTTCTTTTTACTATATAAATGAGATCAAAAGAGTGCACTGCGATTTTCTGTGAAACATGCATGCAAAGCACATTACGAGGGAATTGGCAAGTGCACGGACTTTTAGGCAAACCTTGGTACGACTATCAGCCCGCATATTAAGAGAAAATTATAATGAGATTCCAAAAAAAAAAATTAAAAAATAAGTTCTAGATACTGTTATTTTCACTATATGACTTATTATTATAGGCTATACAGGTTGTTATTAAGATCTTTTAATAATTATTTGTTTTATGTAAGACTTGATTATAATTTCTCCACACATTAATTCGCATTGCTGCAAAATTTCTGGCTCCAAGTTTTAGGTATTTAACGCATCAAAGGAATTTACATTTTTGGGGTCCGAACGTGCTGGTCTGGAAGTAGGTGAATCCCTATTTATATTAATTACTTCTCTTGTTATATAAATAGGGATAAAATTTAAGAGTTTTTAAATTTTTTTAAAATTTACGACGGAGTTAATAAGTTTTAACATTTCTGTTAATTCTTGTAAAAATAGTTAAAAATGACTTATAAATAGGATAAAAAATATTTATAAAAATTGTTAATAATTTATAATTAATGAACATAAAAAAAGAGAGAGAAAAGCAGTCTGAGTTCGAAAACATGAAGATATGTGGTTCTATAACTTCGTATTTCAGTCAGCATCACAACAAGGTTAAAAAAAAAAAAAAGAGTGGTTGAACTACGAATTAATTAATTTCACCTAAAAATGAAAATATTTCCAACATTTTTCATATTTAAATTCATACATCATCGGAAAAAATGAATATTATTGCTCTTTCCAGTCTTTTTTCTTCTTCTTTTTCACTGCTTCACGGCTTCACCCAATGAAAAGGATTTATCCATTCATCATATTAGGCTAAAGGTCGAACATAAAACTTTGTTTAAAATAAAATTATACTTGTTAGGAGTTACTTTATATAAGTATTTATAGTTACTTTCACATAAACTAAGACAAAGTTCTCTTTATAGACTCATCACACATTCCATAAAGAATATTTCTAGAAGTTCCAATCATAATTTTAATCGCAACCAAGTTACTTAATGTCAGTCTAGTGAATTGATCCCACTAATAAACACCTATCAAACATGTTATAAAAAGGATGAATATCCATTCTAATATGCGTCTCATATAAGTTTGAATATAATGCACTTAATCCCTTTTTATCTTTCGGCCATTAAGTGGCTTTCTTGTTGTCGCATTTTCTCACTTCCACACACTCACGCATCTCTGCATATAAACACCCAAACGCATTAATTCCAAACACACACAGCTTTTCTTCTTATCATCTCTCTTTCTCTCTCTAACTCCTCCACCGTCTCCGTATTGTCCTCCATGGCGGAAAACCACAACGGTAACGCCCACCACCACCGCAACCAACCTTCCATCCCAAAGGGTGGCTGGCACGCCGCCATCTTCATCATCTGTGCGTCGTTCATTTCCAATTCATATCTATATATATATATATATATATATAGATATATATTCATTCTTCTTTCTGGGATACGATGGCTTGAGGATCAAAATCTCGTGGCTGGAATTTGCGAGCAAGATTAGGTTAGATTCGCTAACTTTGTGACTGTGTGATATATATTGTGTTGGCAGGTGTGGAGTTCGCAGATAGATTCGCGTACTATGGGTTGTCGGGGAATCTGATACAGTACCTGACGAAAGTTCTTCAGGAGCCCACCGCGACGGCGTCCAAAAACGTCAACACTTTCATCGGCGTTTCGGCTCTGTTCCCTCTGCTCGGTGGCTTCATCGCCGACTCATATCTCGGTCGTTTCAACACCATCGTCGCCTCCTCCATCATCTACCTTCTGGTATGTTTCTAATTGTTCTACTCTTACCTCTATTCTATCTTCTTCCTCTTCCTCTTCTTAGTGGCGCCGGTTTGGTTTTGGATTAATTTCACTCGCAGAATCCAGTTCTACGATGCTTGGGAAATGGGAACTGGGGCGTCAAGTTAATTTTGAGCATGCTACATTGTGGGCCCCACTAGTTGACCAAATTGATAAAAGTTTTACGAGTTATAAATGATTTGAATGAGTTGTCCAAATGTCTGACCTTTTTTGGGGTTGAATATTTATCCTCTAGAGTGTTTGGGAGGAAATCAATCATAACTTTAAAAATAATTTTACAGAACATTAAATAAATATTTCTCTTGATTCTATTTATAAAACACTTTTAACATATTTCACACAGATCAAAAAAAATATTAAATTGTATTAATTCTTCATTAAAATATAATAATTTTTCAACTTTACCCTATTTAATATATACACCTTTCAAAAAAAAAACTATCTATAATAAATAAAGGATAATATAGTATATTCATGTTAAAAATTTAATGAAGTAACTTATAAATAAGACAGAAAAAAACTTCTCTCTCTGCCCTATAAATAGGACCAGAGGAGTATGTAAGAAAATTTTTGTGTTTCAACTTAAATGAAAGCAATTTTTAAAAATGCTTTTTAAGTAAACCAAACACTCCTTAGAAAAAAAAATTATAATGCACTTTAAATAAGAAAAATAATTATTTTCATATATTTCTGTTTATCGGTCAAATTTTTTAAAAAAAAATTTATGAGTAAAGTTACATCACTTAAAAAATTGCGATGCTAAGTGCACTAAAAAAATAAGATTATATATAAAATTATATATTTACGTTTTTTAATTAAAAGACTTCAATTGAGCATGTACAACTCTTCTTTTTCTTGATAGGGGAGGTAATCAAATTCAAAACAGTTTGTTAAGCATTAAATTAAATGCGGGCACTTTTTCCATTATAGATTCAAAATTTAATTTGTTATATTATGATAGACTAACCCATTTTCCTAAATACAAAATCATTGGCCGGTGTAATTTTTTCAATTATATGCAATATATGTTCAGCTATGTGCAAAATAGGTTGCACACAACAAAATTTTATAATTAATGAATAATGTTTGGCAATTTTCTCATTTTAACATGAGCACATGTCAAATTTCAGTATTTATAATTGACTGAAAATTAGGGTAATTAATTTTTTTTATTTAGTACCTGTACGCAATTCTTCGTTCTAATGCTCGCAGCACACTAGGGACAATTTCTTTTTCATACATACATACATATATGTGTGTGTGTGTTGGATTTCTTAATGTCTATATATTGTTACTTTTTTCCAACTCTGGCCGCAATTAAATTATGGCTTACTTTTCATAATTTGATGCCTTTAAAATTTTTAAGAAATAATTAGGGACATATGTGAAAATATATTTTAATTGTTCCTCTGTAACTTCCTAAAAGCTAATATAATTAGACATACCAATCTTCTCAAACTTACCTCTTATAATCAGTAACATAAGGAGTAATTAATATTTTATTTAAAATTCTTCAAAACGACATGTTTGATACAAAGTCTAGTCTTCTTTGCGTGTGATTCCTGAAATGGAAATACGTAAATTTAGCTATGAATCTCAATTAACAATTGGGCTGTTTTTAGATTAGTTATATAGAATAATTTTCTAGAACAAGTTTCAGAAATAAAAAAAGGGGTTTATTATAATTTTTGATTCCTCAAATTTTTTTTATTTTGGTTTTAATTCATCAAATTTCAAAATATAAGAATTGATATTTCAAGGAACAAAATGGTCCAAGTTTTTATTGACTTATAGGAACCAATATTTTAAATAAAAAGAAACTTAAAAGATTAAAACGTATGATTTAAAACTTGATAGACTAAAATCAAAATGAGAACAAACTTGCAAAACTAAAAAGTATATTAGCCCTAAAAAAGTTTTAAAACTCCTTGAATCATTATTTTAAAAAGCATACCCCTCGGTTTCTATCATAAGCACCTACCATTAATCAATGATGTTACTTAAAATCAATATTGCTTGTAAATTAAAATATTAGAAATAATCTTAATAAAAATCATTGGACGAGTTTCTTTAATTAGTTAAAAAATTTCATCATTAGTTAGGACTTAGGAATATTATTTGAAAAAAAAAATACTTTAGATATTTAGATATTAGACAATACATGTTACTCTTTCAGTTTTAAATATAAAATCTAGTTTGTAATCTAATTTTTATTATAAAATAAGCTTTATATTTAGGACCGAACGAGTATATTTTGAAATATATAATATTGGAGGTTTTTATAATAAAAACCGAATGGAATAATTAAAACGGTGAAATGAAAGCTGAAAAAAAAAAGTTTTGGAACTCTTGATATAGTCAGAACTTTTCTATTGGGTAAGTAGTAGGGAGGATTTCTTACACAAAATATTGTGAGTTTACTTAATTAAGGCAGTTCCATGGATCCGTTAAACTCTCTTCAATATTACAAATGCTCCAAATATATATATTTATTTATTTATTCTACACGAACACAACCATTTCCATCACCTCCACCCAATCACGCATCTCTGCAAATACATTATTTCCTCCAAAAAGGATCTGCTATCTCTGGTTCTTGATATAATAACTCATTTAAATTTTATTTTGTTTCTAAATATAAAACCATAATTTATTTTATATTATTTATTTATTTATTTATTTAAAAATAGTATTTGTAATAATGGTAGTTCTAGCCTATATACATTTGATTAATAATGATACTTTAAGAAAGATAATATTTACTTATTATAAATAAATAACTTAACTAATTTTTTTAATATATTTTAATTAATTAATTCGCTCTTATATTAAGAAGTGGAGGTAGTATTAATTACAACTCCACGCAACATGCACACTCACCAAATCTTCATCTCTGTCGTTAATTCCTATAATTAGAAAGAAATAGGCTCAATAATGGATTCCAAATATCCCATCAGAACAATGGCTCCTATATATAACTCACTGGTGGGACCCATTTTATATTTTGATAATTTCTTTTTTAATCACACACACACACAACACATGTAGTTTGGAGAAGTTTCAAATTAGTACAAGGTTCAATATTGTTTTTGGGGGGGGGGGGTCAAATCTATTATATTACAAGATGGAATCATATATACCGCTTTTTTCTCCAATGTACCTTTGTTTAAAAATATATCACTAAATGGATTTACATCCCCTCAATATTGAGGAGTCATAATCAAAAGATATTCACTACATCAAATCACCAACACATTGTTGGTACCCGGCACCCCTTAAGAAAAGAGCACAAGTTCAAACTAAATAAGTGAAATAAAAATTTATTTTGATATGTTGGCAATGATGCTAAATATGTCTTGGGGACTTTTTTTTTAATAATAAATTTACGCATGTAGTTGCAATTACTTGAACTAGTTTTGTTTGCTATGAACTTCGATCCTTAATATAAAATTTCATTTAACTTTTATTTTTGTTTTAAATAATGACCTCAATTTATTTTGTTTTTCATATTATTCATTTTTTTCAATATAGGTCTTGTAATAATAATAGTTTAGCTAATAAACTTGATTAGTAAGGATATTTTAGGAAAGACAACATCTATTTATTATAAATAACTAACTTAACTTATTTTCTTAATTTATTTAAATTAATTAATTTTTTATATTTAGGACAGAGGTAGTATCTTTGATGGAAAAGTTTTTAATGTTTTGCAAAAACTGTAGGGCACGATATGGTTGACCCTATCAGTCTCAATACTGAAGAATAATTCAGCTTTATTTTTCATCGGCCTTTATATACTCTCCGTCGGGGACGGTGGTCATAAGCCGTGTGTGCAGACTTTCGCCGCCAATCAGTTCGACGATGACTCGCCGGAAGAAAAAATCACCAAGAACTCATTTTTCAACTACTGGTATTTGGGTTTAGTGGGCGCAGGTTTAATTTCCAGCATACTCATATATATTGAGGTAATTAATTTATATTCTTGATCAATTAGTTAATTGACTGACCTCATTGTTTTCTCAGTTTCTTTTTTCTCAAGTTACTATTTATATGTATAGCTAGTATAAGCTTACTTGTTTATTTGAATTAACGGTGAAGATTTGATTTTAGGTTGTTCGGTGCAAAAGCGTGAAAAAAGTTTTATCTCATTAAGTATAACATACTCTTTTAAGTGTTTTCTTAATTAAAGTATTATGGTTAATGAGTAAAGTTTGTTGGTGGAAAATTTTTAACTATTTCTATAGCCACTTTTTGAAGGGCAAAGCTTGTTTGGGGTTGGCGAACTTCAGGGCATATGTTACAAAAACATTTCTGTTTAGAAAGAAACACATAAGAATATTTTAAAAATAAATTAAAAATATGTATAATTTATTCTCCTATGCATAATATAAAGTGTGTGAAAAGTTGCACTATATATTTATAATGCACAAACCATATTTATAGATAATCTTAAATTTTTTGTATACTCTTCTAGTCTTATTTATTAATCAATTTTTTTCTATTTATAAATCACACAATTAAATTTTTTGCGTAAACATAAATTTCTCCATTCACTTACTTGTGTAAAATATTATTTTTTTGAAAAATATATGTTAAATGGGAGTAAGATTAAAAATTTATGACAACAATTATATTATATATTATGTGGACCAATAGGACCGTTATGGATGGGCCACGGGCTTTGGAATCATAAGTGGAACTGTTGCGTTAGCATTGGGACTGTTTTTGTTGGGAATAAGAAGGTACAAGAAGGACGGCCCAACGGGCAGCCCATTTACCGGGATGGCCCAGGTTTTGGTCGCCTCAATTCGGAAGTGGAGCGTGGGGACGGCGCGTGAGCCTCACATTTATTGGTTGGGCGAGGAAGAGAATAACGGGTCCCACCTCCAAAGTTGCCCAAAGTCCCAATCCTTAGTCCATACCGATCAATTCAGGTGTTTTTCATTTCTCACAAAAGTTTCTTTACCTTGTTTGCCCAAAAGAAAAAGTTCTTTACCCCTTTTTTAATATATAGTAAATAAAATACATTACGTAAAAAGGTTAGCATAAAGACCACACGTTATTCTAAGAGACGACATAAAGACAAATCCAGATACTCTCCTGTCTCCTCCCCACCTCTCTAATTCTCAAAATCTTATTCAGATTTAATATGTCATAAATATGTTATTATAAAAATAAATAAACTTAAACTGTTAAAATTTAATCTTAACAATTTATAAATTGTAGCATAAAAAATTGAAAAAAAATTAATTTATAAAACATTATAATAATATGTTTTTATAAAATATTAAATTTGAATAATCCGGTTTATGATTTAAGGGTGGAGACTGCCTTTTGAGGGTGATAAAAAGGGAAAGGACAAGATTCCATACAAGATGACAATTTATTACAACCAACATTAGTGTGAACAAACCAAACTCTACATCAGATACTGAGAACTAGGACAAAATAATAACCATGTTTCAAATGCCTATGAGTAAAACTTAGGGAATATTCCAAGAAAAAAAGGGTTATAATAAACATGTCAACTCCAAATGTAGGACAATAACAGCATCTGTCGTGCAATGACTGGATTGAATTAGAAGTAATTTCATTACCAAATGATGAAAAAAGGTTTAATTGAAACATAGTTTTGTGAATATGAACATTACATTTATTGTGTTCATTCTGTAGGTTTTTGGACAAGGCAATGATCATTGATGAGTTGGATGCCTCAAGCAAAATTAGAAATCCATGGAGACTATGTTCAATGACTCAAGTCGAAGAAGTGAAGCTTGTTCTTCGCCTTATCCCTATATGGCTCAGTGGTTTAATGTTCTTTGTCGTCCAAGCTCAGCTCCACACATTCATAATCAAGCAAGGTGAGACAATGATCCGTTCCATCGGACACTTCGAAATCCCTCCGGCATCACTTCAAAGCATCGTCGGAGTCATCATCTTTATCGCGGTACCGATCTACGATCGAGTTTTCGTACCCTTTGCTCGAAAATTCACAGGACATCCATCTGGTATCACAGTGTTACAGAGGATTGGATTAGGTCTATTCATGTCCATAATCAACATGATTGTTGCAGCTTTACTAGAATCCAAAAGGATTGGTGTTGCTAGAGAGAATAATCTTCTTAACAATCCCAAAGCAACATTACCAATGAGCATATGGTGGATGTTTCCTCAATATCTCATCTTTGGTATTTCTGATGCATTGGCTGTTGTGGGGTTTCAACAGTTGTTCTATGATGAAGTTGCAGAGACGATGAGAAGTATTGGAGCTGCGGCGTATATAAGCTTGCTAGGGTTTGGAAGCTTGGCTAGTAATGTTGTTATAATTGTTGTTCAAGATATTAGCTCAAAATCTGGTGAGAAATGGCTAGCAGGGAGCAACGTGAATAAGGCACACCTTGACTCTTTCTATTGGGTTTTGGCTAGTCTAAGTGCTGTGAATTTCTGCATCTATATTCTGGTTGCTAAAACTTTCACGTACAAACAGCTTAAGGTGGTTGATCCTAGCGGTGACTTTAATCACAATGAAGTGTAGCTCAGAATGGGAAAAGATCAGACCAATGCAAGCATGTGGAAGTCAAATGAAATAAAAGCTTCTTATTAGTATATATATTGCGATTCCTTGCTATATGTGCTACTCTGTTGGATCTTAAATATAGTAGTTGGTTTGAGGGATTGATGTTCTTTGTTCTTACATTTGTGTTTTAATCTAATGATCTGCCAAAATTACAATTTTTTTTAAAAAATTATTCTTATTGATTTCATACATTGAAGATGTTTATATAAATGGGGAACCTCTTCTAATATAAATAATTAAAAGAGGTATGTTTAGAAAATAAAAATAGATGTTTAAATAATATTAAAGGCGTTTATATAATTGTTCTCAAATTGCCCATGTTTCTTTTGCCGGGAATCTTCATCCAAATGAGTTATTCTACCATATAGTAATATTCAGGAGAGAGGTCTCTCCACTTTCCTTTCTCTTTGTTTTCTTCTGTTGCCTATCTCAACTATAAAATTACAATTTGAACCGTCCAGATTTTATATTTTATAAAATTATAAACAAAATATCAATTTTTTTAGAAAAACAAATAAAATTAAACTAATTAAATTTAACCATGATAATTTAAAACAATAATAAAAAAATTATTATAAAATTATTTTATATAATATAAATTCTAGATTGTTCAAATTGCAATCTTAATAGTTGAGATGAGAAGTGGAGAGAAATAGAAGGAAAAGGAAATGGAGTTGTTCCTTTCCTGTAATATCACTAGTATGTTGAGAATGTTTTAATTAATATTTAAAATTTTGATGTTAGTATTTTTTTCTTGGTTAATAGTGTTAGAATTAGAGGAATTAGGCAAACAAATTTGCTCACTCAATTAATGATGTCTATCCCAGAAAATTATTGAGGGTGTCTCACGTTTTTATTGCAATACTTTCAATTAAAAAAAAAACGTTTTATTTGTCGTGCATGAAATCTGGTAAATGAGTCTTGGGTTTTATGAATAAAAGGGGAAAAAAACAAAGGTATTGAATTGAAATGTTCTTGTCCATCACTTATCCAATTTTAACTGTCTTTTTTTAATCATGCAACTAAAATTGTTATGAAATATTATACTATCTATGATTTTAAATATAAGAACTAGTTGAATAATTTGAGTAGATTAAAAAAATAAGTTAAGTTAGTTATTTATAATAAATAAGTGTTATCTTTCTTAAAATATCCTTACTAATTAAGTGTATTAGCTAAAACAGCTATTATTACAAGGACTATCTTAAAAAAAAAATATAAATATAAAAAACAAAAAAATAAAATCTTATATTTAATATCAAAATAAAAATTAAATAAAACCTTATATTAGAGACTCAAGGTAACATTTTCCCATGGTTTTTTCATAAGAACCCACTTCACGTTGTGAGAAGTATGGTGACTAGAATCTTCTTTAGTGATGAGATGACGATGTACTGATTGGCGAATGATTGATTGAATGAATTGCCACATTTGTATTTTGGTCAAACAAAATCTTTGACAGTCAAAGTTAACATCTTTTTAACTGTAGGAATCGTTATTGCAACGTTTTAATTAGATTTGTCATGTCCTTCGACCGGACCATAGACGCCAGTTTTCCGTTCGGTTAGTTAAACTTCCCAGTCAAATCTAGTTTGATTTTGATAATACTCTTCTGATTCTTAATATAGAACCTAATTATTGAGTTAATTTTAGTTTTAAATATAAGACTTATTTATCATATTTATCAATTTTTTTTCTAAATTACTCTTATAGATACTCTTTCAAACATAATCAAGTAGAAAAGAGAGGGAGGATATCAAGAAAGATTATTATGGTGTTTGACGAAAAACATATCATATTTTTTTATAATTAACTAACTTACCTAACTTTTTTAATCTAATCAAATTAGTTAAATAGGTCTTATATTAAGAATCAAAGGAGTATTGATTTTTTCTACTGATTTGATAATATTGACTTTGAAAACTGCCACATGCACAAACGAAATATGGTAGTTAAATGGAGAAATCGAAGTTGCATTATTATATATATATATATATATATATATATATATAAAGTAAAGTATAGCATCCAGCTCCTAATTAATACCGTAAGTCCATAATTTTATTTATACTGCATCCAGTATTTTTAACACTTTTGATGTTATTTTTTAGTACATCTTATATCCTAATATACTCCTCCGGTCCTTAATATAAGACCATTTAACTAATTTGATTAGATTAAGGAAATTAGGTAAGTTAGTTAATTATAAGAAAAGTGACACATTTTTCTTAAAACACCATAATCATTTTTTTTAATACCCCTCTCCCTCTTCTATTTGATTATGGTTGAGGGAGTATCTATAAGGGTAATTTAGAGAAAATTGATAAATATGAGAAATGAGTCTTATATTTAGGACCAAAATTAACTTAAGAATTGGGTCCTATATTAAGGACCGGAGAAGTATTATTTATGATTTAAGATATTGGAAACACTAAAAAAAAATGATGCTGAATGCATCATAAATAAAATTAGAAGGTGTATGCAACATTGCAACTAGAAAATAACATTATGGTGTTTAATGCAGTTTTACCTTAAAAACTAATAATACTTTTCAAATCTACCTGTGTCAAAAGTCACTATTACATTAATTACAATAAATTAATTACTTATCATATTGAATTGTGCATAAGATATTAAATATTTTAAATATTATCAAATTGGATTTATATTTTGAACCAGTAATAACCTATCTTTTGTAAGCATAAATAAAAAGAGATGATTAAACTATTAACTCTATCCAAAAATGAAAATATTTCTAACTTTGCTTATACATTTAGATCCATACATTGAAAAAATAATAAAAATTATTACCTCCCCAATCCCAAATATTGGGATCCAGTTAAAAAATTTATTTTGATTCAAAATATAAAATCTTAATTTTTTGTCTTACTTGTTTAATACGAGTACTATTTTTCCTTTTTTTTTTTTTAATATTTCCGCCATTATTAGCCTTGCAGTCGCATTCTCTCACTTCCACACAATCACGCATCTCTGCATATAAACACCCAAGCGCATTAATTCCAAACACACACACCTTCGCTTCAGATCATCTCTCTCTCTCTCTCTCACTGACTCCTCCACCGCCTCCGTCTTCCATGGCTGAAAACGGCAACGGGGATGCCCTCCACCGCAACCAACCTTCCACCTCTAAGGGTGGCTGGCACGCCGCCATCTTCATCATGTGTACGTCTCTCATTTCCAACTCTCTCTCTCACACACACACATGTATTATATTCTTCTCTCTCGGAGACAACGACTTCATCAGGATCCAAATTCGGTGGCCGGAATTTACGAGCAAGATTAGGTTAGATTCGCTAACTGTGTGATTGTGATGTGTATATATAATGTGTTGGCAGGTGTGGAGTTCACAGATAGGTTCGCGTACTATGGTTTGACGGGGAATTTGATTCAGTACCTGACGAGAGTTCTTCAAGAGCCCAATGCCACGGCGTCCAAAAACGTCAACACTTTCATCGGCGTTTCGGCTCTGTTCCCTCTGCTCGGTGGCTTCATCGCCGACTCATATCTCGGTCGTTTCAACACCATCGTCGCCTCCTCCGTCATCTACCTCCTGGTATGTGTCCCATTTTTCTGCTCTTACCTGTACTTTTCCTCTTCCTCTTCTTCTTCTTGGCTGCGATTTGGTTTTTGGATGTATTTCGCCGCTGGGTTCTCGGCGAGTTGAAGCCAGTACTGTGATGCTTGGGAACTGGGCATCACGTGAATTTTGCATATGTTATATTGTGGGTCCCACATGTTGACCAAATTCACTAGGGTGAATGAACCTTGAAGTGGCTGATCTTATTTGGAGTTGGAGTTATAATTTGTTTTCAAAAAAAAAAAAAAGCCCTAAATAAAAAAAACAATTATCTTTCATTTCTATTTATAGGTCAAACTTTAAAACTCTCTCTTCTTTGCGACAAGTATTATCAATAAAAAATTATTATTAATTACTTTATCAAGTTTTTATATTTTGGGCCAAAATTTCTTTCTAACAAACTTCTTATATTATAGATAAGAGGGAGTGTGTGTGTGTATATATATATATTGAATTTGTGTGTGTAGTTGCAATTAACCGGGCTAGTTTTGTTTGCTACGTTTGATGGGAAATTTTTTTCATGTTGTATAAAAATTGTAGGGCATGATATGGTTGACCCTGTCAGCCTCAGTACTGAAGAATAATTCGACTTTATTTTTCGTTGGCCTTTATATACTGTCCATCGGAGACGGTGGCCACAAGCCGTGTGTGCAGACTTTCGCCGCAAATCAGTTCGACGATAACTCGCCGGAAGAAAAAATTGCCAAGAGCTCATTCTTCAACTTTTGGTATCTGGGATTAGTGGCTGGAGGTTTAGCTTCTTGCCTTGTAATATATATTGAGGTAATTAATTTATGTCCTTGATCAGTTCATTAATTAGCCTCACTATTTTCTCAGTTTTTTCATTTAGAGGGATCCCATAAAAAGAAGTTTGAAATTGTCAAATTTCAAATAAGATTTGGTAACATTTTAATAGATTTTAACAACACAGAATTTACAAATTTAGTGATTTCAAACTTTTTTTAGTGATTTCAGACTTTTTTTAATGAAATTTTTTTTTTACTTTTTTTAAACTTTATTACTTATTAATTGTGATAATTATTGTAAGGCATTAAGAAAGGAATGTAAAACTAAAAAGTTTTACAATAATTAAGCTATATGTAATAACAAGTTTCAGTGCAGAAAATGATAACAAGTTTATGATGCTCACTTGTGATTAAGACTTTTTAGTAATTGTATTCCTTTCTTGAGACGTGGCAGTGATTCTTCCAAATTTTTTGTTGGCCAAAAAAATGTTTTAGAAAAAGTTTGGTATATCTCACCAAACCATTTTTTTCCAAAAAGGAAAAAACATCAATAAATTAAAGATACGTATAATCTAATAAACTATGTATAATATAAAGTTTATAAGAAATTGCACCATTTATAATACTTGAAGCGCATCTTATACATACTTAATGGGAACCAGTTTTGTGGTCTAAATTTAATTTAAAATTTTTAACTAATAGTTTTTAAAGAAAACATTATTTTTTTTAAAAAAAAACTTATAGTTAAAAGATTACATTTATTTTGAATTATCTGCCTATTGACAAAAAAAAAAGTTCTTTTAAAAACAAAGATATGAAAAAATTAAATCTTTATTGTTCATATTAAATTTGAATAGTTAAAATTTGATGAGTATCATGATACTCATAACTGTGATGAATATTAAAACTGGTTCTATACTTGATGCACGCATTAAAGATATTTTTGTGAACAACTATATATTATGTGGATAAATAGGAAGATGTTGGATGGGCCGCGGGCCTTTGCGTTGTGACTGGAGCGGTGGGGTTAGCATTAGTATTGTTCTTGGTGGGAATAAGACGGTACCGGAAAGAAGGGCCAACGGGCAGCCCATTCACAAGCATGGCCCAAGTTTTTGTGGCTGCAATTCGAAAGAGGCGCGTGGGAACGACGCGTGATCCTCACATTTATTGGTTTGGAGCGGACGAGAATCATAACACATCCCATCTCCCAACTCAACCAAAGCCCCCTTCTTTAGCTCATGCTCATCAATTCAGGTGCTTCTCAGTTCTCATTTCTCTCAAAAGCTCTCAACACTTTTTTTCTTTTTATATAAAAAAGAATTTAACATAATAAACATTACTTACAAACTCTCAAGCAAGCTTACATAGTATAACATAACGGCACATACTAAAAATGATGAATTACTACTGCCTCTGATTTTATATAACACATATTCGATTGTAAATATAAGAATTAGTTAAAGATTCAATTTGATTCAATTATAAGACCTCAATATATTTTATATCATATATCTAACCATTTTTGCCTAAAGTAATCCCTATGGTGATTATATATATTAAAAGGTTTTCATCAAATGATTGTTCCAATATACCTAATTAGTAAGAGTATTTTTAAAAAAATAATACTCATTTATAAAAAATAGTTAATTTAAGTAATTTTTTTATATTTGTAAATTATTTATCTAGCTTAAGATCAGAGGTAATATAAGATACAAATAGTCGAGCTATATATAAATTAAAAATGGATCATACCACTTTTCCAAACCCTTCATCAGATTGTGGATTAAGAATTATTGTGTTCAACTTGCAGTTTTTTGGACAGGGCAATGATCATTGATGACTTGGATGCCTCAAGCAACACTAGAAACCCTTGGAGATTATGCACTGTGAGTCAAGTTCAAGAAGTAAAGCTAGTTCTTCGCCTAGTCCCTGTATGGCTGAGTTGTTTAATGTTCTTTGTTGTGCAAGCGCAACTCTATACATTCATAGTCAAGCAAGGTGAGACAATGGTTCGTTCCATCGGACCACACTTTAATATTCCTCCTGCGTCACTTCAAAGCATCGTCTCTGTCGTCATCCTCATCACAGTACCCATCTACGATAGAGTGTTCGTACCCTTTGCTCGAAAACTCACAGGACATCCATCTGGTATCACAGTGTTACAGAGAATTGGATTAGGTTTGTTCGTGTCTATAATCAACATGATTGTTGCAGCTTTACTAGAATCCAAAAGGGTTGGTGTTGCTAGAGAGAATAATCTTCTTGACAATCCCAAAGCAACATTACCAATGAGCATATGGTGGATGCTTCCTCAGTATTCTATCTTTGGCATTTCTAATGCACTAGCCATTGTAGGTTTCCAACAATTGTTCTATGATGAAGTGGCAGCGACGATGAAAAGTCTTGGAGCTGCAGCATATATAAGCTTGTTTGGATTTGGAACCCTAGCTAGTAATGTTGTTATAACTGTTGTTCAAGATATTAGCTCAAAAGCTGGTGAGAAATGGCTCGCAGGGAGCAACTTGAATAGGGCACACCTTGACTCTTTTTATTGGGTTTTGGCTGGTTTGAGTGCTGTGAATTTCTGTATTTATATTCTAGTTGCCAAAAATTTTGTGTACAAAAAAGAGATTAATGTGATTGATTCTAGCATCAATAACAATCATAATCAAGTGTAGCACAGAATGGGAAAAGACCAATGTAATATGCATGAAAGTGAAATAAAAGAAAAGTTTCTTATATTAGTAGATATACTGCGATTAATTATTGTACACTCTCTTCGATTTTATATGTACTTTTTGTTTTCAAATACAATTTTTTTAGAACAATTATCCAAGCATTTCTTTTTTAATTCTCAAAACTTGTTTCTAAAAACTGTTCTATAAAACTATTCTAAAAACATTATAAAAAAAACAAAAGAAAAGAAACAAACAAGGCTTACATGTCAGCCAAGCCCACCACATTGATACTTGTTTATCAAATTCTTTGAGAAATCAGAGGAAAAGGTGAGATGAAAAAAGAGAGCTCTTCCTTCCAAGTTCTCTCTTGAAGGTTCTTTGAACTTCACGGTGTACGAGTAGATAGTTAGAAGATCTTCTTGGAGCTTTTGGTTTGCATTGTTCTTTTTAATTAAACGGTTTATCTTGTTGCTGGTTGTTTGCCCTCTCTGCTCTGGGTTTGTTTTCTGGGCTGGAAAGTTGGTTACTTTCCTTCCTCCAAGATGATACTACCAACTGGAAGTGAGAGACACAGCACTTCCCTTTTCACTTCCTTTTTCTTCAGGTGTTGAGGTCAAAATTCACAATAATTTGAAAAAAAGAAAGTTAATTTCCCTAAAACATCTGATAATAATTTTATACCAAATATATGAAAAATAATAATTTTTCTTCAATTTTCTATGTTTACGAAGCTTAATTAATAAAACTTGTACGTCTTATTGCTGAAGAAAATAAAAATAATTGTACGTGCATCAATCTCCTTAATTCTTAATTTACTGTTTTAAAACTTGAATTGCCGGCCTGTAGCCTAATAGAGTATTCGGTAGTTGGGTCTTCATTCAATGCTCATCACAACGATAAGCATTATGTGCTCATCACTCTAATACAATCTAAACCATCCAAAATCTAATATGGGTGGTTTAAATTTAAAATTTTCAATATACAATTTTTTCAATGATAAATTTATTTTTTAAACATATGTTAGTTATGATATTATATTTATTTTAAATTATGTATCTATTAAAACAAAATGTTGATTAAAATATATTAAAAAATTTAAATTTAATCTGAACCATCTGAAATCGATTTGGAGGGTCCAAATTGCGAGGAGCATGGAATGTGCTCCCTTTAGTAGTGATGAGCAATACACACACATCTTTTAATTATATATATTTATTGTTTTAAGAAATTAAAAATTAAAAGTTTTACATTTAGGGTACAAATTAAGTTTCCTTTAATAACATAAAAAAATTACATTATTAACAATAAAATTAAATTAAATATAAGCTTTTCAACTTTAAAATCAAAAGAATAATGACATTGTTGTAGAGTCGTCATATTACCAAACAAAATTTCGGTTTTATCTTCCATCATATATAACTATAATATGTGGGATCTCAAGAACATGACCTACAAATTTCATATTGGTATTAACAGAATATCTTCTTCTGTATATCTTGAATCATTGCTTTGACATCATTGGTCAGGTCATCTTCCATCTATCACGTTTGATTGATAAAGCAATCAGCAATATAAATTCTCATTCTTATTGCAAACATAAATATTCAAATGAAGCTTTAATATACACCTTTCTTGTATCATTGTCAAGTATGTGCATTTTTAAAGCTGCCAAAAGGTGGGGGGAATGGCCATAAGCATGTATATATGAATCACCTCCTGTATCCCCTACATGGAAACTTACTTCTAATATGGATAACCGATTGGATTAATTTAATTTGATGGCTACAAAAATCGAAAGAATAGAAGAGGACATATATATATATATATATATATATATAATAACTTTTAGAAGAGCTTTTCTGTGGCTACAAGGAGCAGAACTACTTTTCTATGGCCACAAGGTGCGATCTATTGTCAACAAGACCTGGTACAAGACATTGTTTCACTAGTTAATTATTGGAAACAAAGTCAGAGGACACAATAATCAAATCCCAACATCATACATACAAAGCCGGAAATTTACTTCACAACTTGGAGGATAGAAATTATGGTTTGAACAACTGTGAGAAAGATGAGTATAATTGCAGCAATAGAAGCAACAGTTTGCCAAGGTGTACGGCAATAATCATGTCTTAGAGTTGCCCACAGCTCATGCCAAGGATCTTGACAATACGCATTCAACTTTTGGCAAATATCAAAGTATTTAGAATTGAAAGTCAACTGATTGACATTTCCCAAAAGACCATTAAATAATAAAGCAACATTATTCGTACCCCCTACATGATTGCTGACTATTTTCTTGTGGATAAGGAGATCCACATCTTTTTGTGTGTCTATTAGACAATCCAATACAAGAGCATAGTCAGTAATGTAAGCAGCACAAGGATAATGACACTCTTCTAATGCTATCATATTGCGAAACACAAGTTCAGTGTTATCATCCACCAGAAATTGTGGAATTTCAAGAATATGTCCTGAAAATTTCATGTCTAATAAGCATTTGCTCTCACTAGCCTTCAACTTTATCCCTGCTTCTTGTAATGCATTTGCATTGTATAAAAGACGATGACTTCCATCCACTGATATTAATTGCTGTGCAGACATTTCTCCTTGTAAGTATAATGATCTAAGAAGATCTGTAAAATGCTTTACCTTAACATCAATATTTGGCATTACTTTTGTTCCATGATAATGCTCAAAATACTTATACGTGAGCTTACGAAATGAAGGGAGGTTACCCCGACGCTCATCAGGAAAAGCTCTATTGAATAGCTCTTCAATAACAAAGAATGGAAGTTGATTCTCAAGTAAACACAAATCCTGGGATATAGAACTTACTAACCAGAGCTGCGTCAATATAGCATCGTTGCCATGATCCCTCTTATAGGCCATGATGAAGAGTTCAATGATGAAACCAGCATCCATTAATATCAATTTCACAAGTTCTTCTTCACTAAAGTTAAGGGTTTCTGAATAAGAAGCACGGACTTTTGGTTCTAAATGTTTCACACAGCGAACCAAATCATCCAAGCTTGACATAGCCCTTTGAGCAAATCTTTTGAAAAATATTTTTTTATGCCTTTCCATGTCCTGCAGCCTCTCATTACGGTAATGGAAGGGGCCAATCGAAACAACTTTTGGAGTGTAAGCCTTTTCTTTAAGATGACGGAGCACAATGGGCACTCGATAGATACAACAGTCTGGTGACGAAAGACCATCTCCGCAATCTTGAATCCTTTCTTTGATGTCTATAGCCAGCTCATCTTCCACCTTTGAAGTTTGATTTAGAATGCAAACTTGAATTATACAAGTGATATATATATATATATATATATATATATATGTAAAGAATCCCCTATTATAAAAATGGGCTGTTTTGCCGCGTAAAGCTTGACGGTTGAATAGGAAAACAGGGCATATAGGTTGAGGCGGAAGTTGGGAGGATATTTGACTGACAGTTGTCATTCTGACCATCAAGTTTATCCACAAAATATTAAATAAAGGGAAAATTAGAGAGAGAGAGGCCTAATGGGAATAATTTTTCCTTAAATAAATAACCATTAAACGGGTTTAATTTTTTATTTTTTATAAAAAAATTGGCTAACTACTGACAGTTATCATCAAATAATTGAGAACAAAATTTGAATTTTTTTTTATATAAATAACCGTCAAACCTTAACTATTTGATGGTTTTTTTAATAATAAATTGACAATTTTTTCATTTTAAGATCTAGTTTCAAAAACTAATTTTTATCTCTAAACTTCTCAATTCCAACCTATTTGGATAAAGGTCAAACAAAGATAAGGACTTTGAGTTACATCTCGAATATCAAATACGCTTTCAACGATGCAAATTTAAAATTTTGAAATAATAATTTTTGAATAGAAAAATTATTTTTTCAAAAAATTAACAAGAGATTATTTTTATTTTAGATTCTTTACCCGTTAAGATAATTTTTGTGAAAATCTAAATTATGTTATTGATAACAACAGATTTGTATTCTCATAAAATTGTCTATAACTAAAATCAGACAAGGCTAAAGAAAAGGTAAAAGGGGGGGGGGAGGCTACAATGGGTTACACACAAGCAAATCTTAGAAGGTGCGATCAAATTAAAGGGAATGTAGAAATCAAGAAAAGCCATCACGGATGAAAAGCACAGGACGCATACTTGCAATCTGACAAGTGTCTTTGAAAGGGAAACGAAATAAGACTAAAGAAGTGTAATAATAGAGGAATGATATAAACAGAAGCAACCTCAAAAATTGTAAGCAAAAAGAAAGTAAAGAAAATAATAAGAAAAGGCTTCACAGTTGAAGAAAGAGTAGTAAAGAATGACACATACGTGTTGTTGTTCCAAGTTGTTGGTGAATAAGAAAACTGGTGACTGCTGCTCCACCATTTGTTCAGCACTCTCGGAGACTCTGTCTCTTCGGCCCCTGACTTTAGACTTCAGCCAGCGGGGAATAAAAGCAAGTGTTGCTGAAGAAGCTGATACTGTAATTTCCGCCATTGATGGTACTCTTGGTTATATAATAGCCTGAAAATCGAATAATATGAAATAAGTTATTGAATAATTTATTTGCTAAGAGGCTGTGATCTATTCTGTGGTATATATTGAGAACGGCGAGCGGATGTTAAGGAGGAGAAGGAAGTATATCTCTGCTCTGTTATGCTCAGCAACTCACACCAGCAGAACCACCGACGTTAGTGTCAAGCAAGAGAGAATCATATATGGAAAGGCACGGGGCTATGTCTGGGGAAAAGATTCAGAGAGGATTGACAACTTTTAGAAGTTGGTGAGGTGGATGGAGATGAAGTTGAAGACCCACTAACTGATTTGGAGATATATGGCCATAGAGAAAGAGGTTTCAGCCGAAAAAGTAAAGATGAGAAGTTTGAACGAAATGGAAAATACTCAAATGGAAAAGATAAGTATTTTGAATTTTAATTTTGAAATTGAAAGGAAATAGAGGAAAAAGAAAACAATTTAATCTTACACAGAGCCCAATATGAGCTGGTACTATTCAGTTAAACAGCAAAACGTGACAGGAGCCATATTATGGAACCAGCTTGAATGATTTTTATATCAATCAATCAACTTAAAATATTAATAATCAATCAATCATTAATCAATCAATTTAAAATATCAAATAAAAATCAAAGACAAAATAAGTTATTTTTATCTTCAAAGTGGCTCCTCATTTAAATTATTGTGCTATGAACAGTATCAACTTATAAACAGTTTGTGTGTGACTCCATGCATTCCTTTTTTTTTTTTTTTTAAATTTTGGGTGGATTTTGGACTTCGTATTTCAAAATTCCCTCCGTCCTCCCATTCATTTTTTCTAATCTCTCCACCTTCTACTCTTTTTCCATACATGTTTCTCTCTCTATTTTCCCCCTTTTCTAAATTCCAAATTCAAATGGAAGCTTCAACCTCTCTTTTTCTCTTTCACTCAGATTGATGATTTTCTCATAGAAATCACTGCTCCATTTCCTTTGCTTACAAACACTATTGGCATGTTTGGTTGGATTCACTACAAAAAAATTGACTTTCAGTAGTAACAAAAAGTTGCTGTTGAAAAGTTGTTGCTGTAGCAACCGTGGTTGAAAACTTTCAGCAGCAACAAAAAAAGTCACCGCTGAAAGTGATGCCTAAGAAAAATTGGCTTTACCGACGCTATGTCATCACCGGCCACTTCCACCTCATCGCTGTCGGTCACCACGTCATCACTGATCGGATGCCACATCATCACTAGCCACCTCCACGTCATTGCCACATCACCCATCTCATGGGACATCACTCCTCCCCGCCAAGTTACCACCCAAATATTTTCACCTTAAACGTGTCTTCTTCAAGGTTCGAACTCGTGACCACCTCCTTTCGTGTCTAATCTTCTTGCTGTTGAGCTGGATTGAATTTGTTTATTATTATTGTAAAATAAAATATATCGTATTATATTATACTTTCAGCCGTGACATTAGAAAGTCATTATTGAAAGTCAAATTTGACACTAATAGTCACTGGTAAAAATCTACTTTCAGCAGTGACCCTAAAAAGGCGCGGCTGAAAGTGAATCCTTTAGTGATGACATCACCACCGAAGGTCTTTTATTCAGTGGCGACACAAAAAGTCGCCGTAGAAAGTATACGTTTCAGCAGCGACATTTTTGTCGTCGCTGAAAGTCTTACTTTTAGCGGTGAATTTTTTTGTCGCCATCGAAAGTCGTTACCTAAAGCCTTTTTTGTAGTGTACGAAACTCCATTGATTGATCAGGAAAAAAAAAAAAAAAGACATAGAGATCAGATTATATCAAAGGGTGTTTGTGATATGAGGAAGAATGGAAGACTATATATAGATGGTTTAAAGAGGGGTTAGTGTTATCAAAAGGAGCCAAAGATAAGAATAGATTATTTTGAATTTTTCATTTGATCAATATAATAAGATTTGACAATATATTTGGATTCTAATATCAAGAAAATTTCATCTTATTTTCGAACAATACTTTATATTATATATATAAAATAAATATAAAAGAATCTCATTTTTTTTAAATTAAGGTTTGGTGGGTATTTTAATTGAAATAGTAATACTTTTTTTAATAAACCATTAGATAGTAATAATATACTATTATCACGATAAAAATTTTCAAGTGTTTCATAAAAGTTATATAGATTTTCTAGCTTATCATTAATATATATTTTCAAGTAGATATTGTTATTTGTTACTCTGGTTTAATTTTAATATTTTATTTCAAAATTAAGATTTATATGAATGAAACATATGTTAATAACAGTTCTTTGGGGATCAAATATTTAAAACATGCTCAAGATAATGCCTGACACAATCTTTTCAAAAAAAATTTATATACGAGTATTTCGAACATAAAATTATTTTTTATTTTATTTATAAACAATAATATTATAATTAATAATTATAACAAAAATAGAAATAGATAAATGTGTACTGTTATCTCTACCTTAGCTACCGAATTTTCTATATCTATGATTTATTGGATCTAGTCTTCATTCATAGCTTAATTGATGAGGATGTGTGAAAGATTCACAAAAATATCTGAATAGTTCAAAGTAAATTCTCACATCACGTGAAGGCAACATGTGATCAATATCTTACAGATTGGTTATCCACCACATATAGAGACATCACATCTTTGTTTGTAGGCTCAACTCTCAAGTCCATTAACAAAATGATTTCAAATCCGTATGTGTGATGTGTACATTATAAATTATTAATTCAAAGATTATAAAAATTTAATGATGGTTTACAAAAAAATCCAATAAACTAGAGTTAATAAATTATTGTTATATTTTCTAATCAAAATCACGTTATTTTGAGCTCATACTGAGGGAAGAAAAAGTTGAAATTCTATCATGTCATTCCATCCAAAACTCTCTGGTCAAACTAATTAGGATTTAGGAGATTGGTTGATTGGTTTACTGGTCTAATCAATTGGCTTTGATTTTTTCATGAGCACAATTATCTTCTTATTAAAGACAATTATATTGTACTATCGGTACTACATGTGAACAACTTTTCTAGCAAAGATCTGAATTTTGTTTGACCACAACTTAGATTAAATTTTAATAAAATGTTATCAATACTTAAGGGTAGGGCTATTCACGGTCCCGTCCTGGTTCTATCTTGGTGAACAGGAACATGATAGGATTTTTGTCCCATGTCCGGTCCCGTTTCCCCTTTTTTTCTAAAAAAAAATCTTATAATTTTTTATATGATTTTTTATGTTATAATGCTTATTTTTCTATCAAGCTTCTAAAGATAATAACATTATAAAAAAAAAAAATTATGTAGAAAGCTCAATTATATAGTATAAAAAAGGTGTAAAAACAATATTGTAAAAAAATATCATAAAAAAACACTATATATAGCTTTATAAAATATTTTATTGAGGAAAGAGATTTTGTTGAGATAATATTACAATTTAAAGTGCTAAAAATCACTATAAAAATAATAATTATTAATAAGTAAATTGAATAATCTAATAATAAATAATTTTTAAAAAAAACATTTTGGGACAGGACGGGATAGTCCTGAACTCACTGGGATCAAAACGGGATAACCGGGACGAGACAAATTGAACACCTTTACTTAAGGGTTCACCTAGTCAGACGTCTAGAACCAATATAATGTGAAAGGGGTCATTTTCTATCGTACAGAAAATTATTAATGAATCAAAGTAAAGCAAATAATGATTGCAAAAAAACAAATAAGGCTGAAAGACAAACTCATAATTCATGAAACTTTGTCAACAAAAGTCTAACACCTACAAGCCTTGATCATTGAATGATTATCTTATTTTATGAAAAAAGATATAGCATTTTTCAGTAATTACTCATCTAATTTAATGTAAGATAATCTATTATTAAAGTGTTATGCGAAACATCAAATCATTTAATTATTTTTCGCCAAAAATTCATTTAATAATTAATAGTTTAATACCAGAGGAATTAATTTGATCATTTGTAAAAAAATCATATAATCAGAATAATAAATTTATTAATATATATAAGATTATTTGATATTGAATAATTAAATAATGACAGAAATAATATACAACTACAAATTAATAGCTAATAATGTGGATATTACTTCATGAATTTGGATTAATTTTGCCACTTAGATCTAAATAAAATCAAAATCAATCAAATTACGAATTATATATATAAAGAGACTATTATGATCATAATAATTTTTTATTATTGTGAAAATAAATAAATTGTATTTTATCAATTATATCTGAAAAAACCTCATTTTATTTTATATTTTGTGACAATTTATATGTCTTCTAGTCGGCATCGACATCAACCATAATTAAAAGATCATGAGTACAGTGACTAAAGCAAATGATTGAGAAAACTATAAAAACTCTAAAAAGGAAAAAAAACTACAATAATCTGATTAAAAATCAAGTGAAACTACCATGATTAGCAAATTAATTTTCTCTCAAATAATTTAATTAATTATTATATGATCATGTCCGCATACACAGGCACACTCTCCACATGATTTGAAAAGATTTGTGTGAGCTAGATCAATGTATCAATGAAAAGTTGATCAATGAAAGAACCATTCCGTTGACATTGAGGACTTGATTACATACACCTCTTTCATACAGCGACTCCAATACAAACTATTGATAAATGTATAAAAGTTCTCTCTCTCTCTCTCTCTCTCTCTATATATATATGTATATATATTTATTGCAATGAATATTATTCATGGAATTAATCTCCAACAATGTACTAAAGTCACCCCGTGATATTATATCATATCATTGATAACACTATGTGATCATTAAAATTGCATTGTATTGCAAGGCCTTGTCAAATTTTTATCCACATCAAACTTCTAATCTTCTGGCTAGCCTGCAATCTACACAATCAACCTAAAACATAGAAAATATTAAAAAAAAAATTCTACCATTAAAAGGTTATGAATAATGTAACTTGTTTTTAAAATTCTGTATAATATACACGACTTATGTATAAGTGGAGTATATGTAGAAAAATAGGATAATTTATTTTCTATATGTATTTGTAGATGTTAGTAAAACGCTGTGCTTAGGCTTACTTAGCCTTTCCTTGTATTTCCGGATGTCTATAAATCAAGGAACAAAAAACCGAACCGGAGACTAAACCGGTCGAGACAGTGGGTCAAGGGTCACTGGTCGGACCGGGGTCGGACCGGTCATATTAAAATAATATAATTTAATTCATAACATTAAAATAGAACAAAATTCATAAATAATAATTAGTTGAAAAAAGATAAAAAATTACAAAAATAGTTTAAATATTTCATTGTACCAAGCAAACATTAATAAACTATATATCTTCATCGCTATGGAAAATCAAAATCATCATTAAGGTCATTGGCAATGGCAT